TCTTCACTATTCAAGATGCTAGCCATCATTTCTTGCCCCTAACCATACGCATTTCTCTAGTAGCACTTCTCCTGTCCCTACTTTGCTACTTTCTCATCTGTTATAGTCTGAAAAACCAAGTATCATAATTTGTTAGAACTAGGAAAAGTTCTCAGGTAAGGGAAAAAGGTCACATAAAAAAGTAAAATAAGCCAACTTCTGTAAGCAGATTTGCTTGAAAAAGTCCCGAAGACAAGAAATTTTCATTAAAAAAAAAAAAAGAAAATGCTTAAGAAAACTCAGTACCTTAACATTTGATTTCTACCCATTTCCTAGATTTATTTTCATAAAGCCAATAATATTTTACCATTTGATTTCTATCTTTGCTTCCTTGATTTATCCTTTTCATGCCTTCACCAATTTTCAAGTTTAACTAGTTCAATAAAAACATTTTGGCAATGACATAAATTTCTTTCCTGTACCCATTATGAAATTGACAAAAAAGTAGAATTAGAACTGAAATACAACACTATTAATCAAGATAATGCTTTTCACAGCAATCAGCACAAAGAACAGATTTAATGAAAAATGAATGTATACTAATAATTAGGGAAACATCCTTATGAGAGAATATAATAATTTAATGTCACCAAAGAGACTAAAAACAAAAAATTTTTACCTTTATTATGGTATTAGGCTTCATCCTGGCCAGAATATGAATTATATAACTTTTCAAACTTCCTCCATTAAAAAAAAAGTCTACGTTAAACAAGGAAGAAAAATTTTGGTTTCAAATATTGTAGAACACTTGATTTTGGCAACCTATTTTTCCCAGTTCTAACTTCATACTTACACTATTTTCATGTCACCATGTCCTAAAGCAGATTAAATATAGAAATGTAGTCCTATATCCTCTACCAACTCATCCTTATTAACTTTATGTTAGCACTAGGAAACCAGTAAAATAACATCTTAATGAAAAGTAACAGCAATCACAAATTTTCCCCGAGTTCCTAAAAACAGTACATTTTTGTAGGATCTAAAGGAAGTGTATCATAGTCATTAATAAAGAAAAACAAATAGTATAAAGATAGAAACTCACCCCAATTTAGGTTTGATACGGCTCTACACAAAACTTCAAATAGTTGGCTTTTTAAAAATTTAACCAAATGAATCTAAAGTTCATCTGCAAAAGCAGGGAAGACCAACTAAGAAAAATGTGAAAAGGAATTATGAGTATCACCCCTCCATACGTGTACACAGTCTACAGCACTATAGCAAATAAAACTATGCAGTACTGCTACATGAATAAGGCCTAGGTACAGTGGTTGTTAACCTGTTTTTAGATTTTCTATTACATATTCCTGTGAGAAGATGATGAAAACTATAACTCTTCCCCCAGAAAAATGCATATATGCACACTCACATCAAATTGTGTACATTAAGGAATCCATGGAACTCTTAGGGCCTATCTATAGAACCTACAGAGGCCAATGGACCTCAGGTTAAATATCCCTAGTAAATGAAGCAGATTTGATAGCTTAAACCTGGTACACAAGTTATGATCAAAAGAAGCAATTCAAAGCAATAAGAAAAGAGATGGATCACCAACAAAAAATTTTGAAAAAACTAGATATTTGGAAAAAATGAAAACTAGCAACCCATCTTCACACAATATGTCAAAATAAACTCCATGCAGATTAAAGCATACTTCTTTTTAACATCATTAAAACATCTAGAAAAAATAAATGAAATAAATGAACGATTAGTTCATCTCACAACAGGTAATATTTTTTAGGCAGAGAAGTCCTAGAAGAAATCACAAACGAAAAAAGCAGTGCATTTGACTACATAAAAATTTAAAACTTCTGATTATAAAAAACTGTAAGAAATTAAAAAATAAACTAAAAAAATTTACTGCAAAAAATATGAAATGTAAAGTGCTAATGCAAAATACTTGTTACAAAAAAACAAAAACATTAACATCCACCATAGAAAAATATGCAAATAAACCTCAAACAGCTAATTCACAAAAAATGAGAAAACTGCATATATACTAAACATAAAAAGTTCAACTTCACTAGTTATCAAAAAGAAAAGTTAATGAGCTACTATTTTTCAACTACCAAATTGATGGTGTAAAACTAAGTTTTTTTCAATTTTGTAAATTACTTTAAAAATCCTTTGAAACAGTAATTTCAAAGAAATATTATGAGATGCAGATCACGACTCATGTACAAGGATGTTCATGGTAGCGTTATTTATAACAAACAGGCAACCAACAAAATAGTCAACAAGAAAAGAAACGTTTAATAAGAAGTCACAGTACATTCTCATTAGAGATAATATTATGTAGACATTTAAAAACACATTGGAAGAATATTTGATAATTGTGGATAGTTTCACAAAATATTATGTAACCATTAAAAAACATTTTAAAAGAATAATGAAGTGGGAAAACATCCACAATAAACTACTAAGTGAAAAGAACAGGAATGAAATTATGATCCAAATGAAAAACTAACTGATAAATTGATCAATAAATACTGATCATTAATCACTGTTTATTTATCAATAAATATTGATTGTTGATCAATCACTGAAAAGTCACAAAAATCACCAAATGTTATTTCTAAATGTTGCTAATTTTCAACATTTTCCAAATGTGCTATAATAAATAAGTTAAAAAAACTTAAATATATTTATCACGTATTCAAATCATAATTTAAAGAAAAAAAGACAATTTTAATGATTTATGTTTTAATCATTCCAACCTTTTTCTTCTAAACTTAATTTTATGATGTCTAAAATTCACAAAACTAAAAAGAATTTAAATGACCCCAGTAACTTAGTATTCATTCCTGGAGTAACCTAGTCTTAATATTTCTATATGCTGCATATGTGTCAAAATCTTGTGCCATCATAACTAACAAACTAAAATTTCAAAACATGCTTGTCATTGACAGAATACCAATGAACAAATAGTGGATGTTCAGACAATTCATTAATTGTAGTTTTAAGTTTACAGAACTATATTTGCCTTTCTAAAAAACATGACAGCAAAATTGTCCTACCAATAAATATTTACATTGTACATTAGTCTCCAGTGTTTTCAAATACCTCTTACGATCTTCAACATTAAACTAAAAGGCAATCATTTGTATATTCAAATGAAAATATAAACTTAAATATAGAAACCAAAATATTTCACTTTTCTGGAAATGCAAAGTGTACCATGCCCTAAGATCAAAGTTCTTAACCTAAATATGTATGTGTATATACACACACACACACAGAAAATACAACATATTTTCGACTCTATAACACCTGAAATAATGTCTTAGGGGGTAGGGGAGGGGTGTGCTGGGTAATCACCCCAGAAGCATAAAAGGGAAGAGATTACACAACTAAATATATTTCTGGGTAGAAGACTTCAGAGGTCCAGGAATTATATCAATGACAAATTTTCTGTTGAGAAAAACCAAAGAATTTTTCCTATCATTCCATTCTATCTCATAGGTGATGTCATTTTAAAAAAATCCACCAACCAAAGGAATTCCTTTCAATTACATCTACCTAATACTTACAGAGTACTTGCTTTAGGCAATAAAAACGTCCCTAAACCAACCAAGATTAAAAAGAGCTGCTTCTTCATTTGACAGGTGACTGATTTAAACTGAGTTATGAAACCAATCGTTGTATATACAAACCACAGATGAAGTCTACGAAGACCACTTAGAACTTTTTAGCCCAGTAAGAAATAATTTGCACAATGGGAAAATTATATTAAATCGTATAAAACTTCTCCCAGGGGTGTTATATAAGATTTAAATATAGTGACACTGTCATTTTAAACTAAAATAATCAGTAGCATACTTATAACTACCTTCTTCAAGAAACTAAAACCAGGAACACACAATTAAAAAAAACAAACACAAAAACTGTATCTTATTGACATATATATGGGGCAGTTTTTTTAAAAAATCAACTTATTTTTTATTGATAGTTAACTCGATTTCCTCAAAAACCCCTCAGTGAGTTGGGAGTTCTCTGTAGAATTCTTTATCAGAAAAACTTGCCAGGTGAGTGTTATATTTTACATATCATAGCAAACAAATGCCAAGAAAATGACTTAATTTAAAAAGTCACAGTAACAAAAATTATCTAACTGAAGCAGTAATGAACAAGTGATCAAAGACTGAAAAAACGTAAAACAAATGCAAGTACGATCAGAGGCACACAAACTGATTAAATTTAAAACTTCACTGACTTGGGAGCAAGTATTTTAAAACATAAATACCCAAGGAGATAGAAATTTCTTTTTAAAACAACATCATACAGATTCTGCGAATGTCCCTTCCTTTCCATATTTCCAAAACTCAAATTGCTTCTATTTTGTAAACATTCCACACATCCATAAAAGCAGAACCGGTAAAAATAGGGTTAAAAATGTATTTGCAAAAATGCAGTTCAAATAAATGCACTTCCCGTGAGAACACCACTAGGTGCTGATCTTCATCTCCCTAAACATAAATCTGAATCCAGCAATACCCTAAAAGTGAAATTATAATCGAGAACCACAAGTGACATTTTTACAGAAAATGAAGTCACAGCTTCTCAGAGAACCGGAGAAATATCAGAAAAGAGTTTCAGTTCGGTACAGGAGTACAACATAAGAACAACGTTTTCCTTGAAAAATGTGGGAATGTGAGGGTAACAAAATGAAACCCCTCAAGAAGGAGGAAAATTAAATCTAGAACCCAAATGGCGTCCAACAAGAACATTAGATCTTGAAAATGAATATTGCGCTTGCGCAGCCACCGCCCCGCCAGCTGCACAACTGCAGCTAAAGCCCGACCCCGCAAGATCACGTGCTCCCATGCAGCGCCCGCCCGCAGCTCCGCAACCGCGCAGGCGCAAATACAACTCCCGCAGCCGCCATAATGCGGTCTTGACTCTTCAGAAATACAATAGTAATTTAAGAAAATGTGCTTATTGCAGCCCCTGGGATTCACATATACCTTTTGGGGCGGGAGAGGAGGGAGGGGGAACCAAGTTCCTTCCTACAGAGCTGTTCCACGCAGCCGTCCCCAACGCTTCCGCGTCAGTCTCGCGCGCTTCAGTCACCGCACCGCCGCTGCCGCCGCCGCCGCCTCCGCAGATTCAAAAACAAACCCGCTTCTGCCTTGCACGCGCCGGGGCCGTTATGCAAATTAATGTAGGCGGGGCTCAGTGGTCGTAACATTGGCCACGCCCGCTGTGCTGTCAGCCAATAGGCTCACGGAATGGCCGTTCTCCATGCAAATCTCCTGGTTTTTTATTTGAATGAGGTAAATTGGCCCCGCCTCCTGCCGTGGAAAAGAGAAGGAAGTCTGAGGTGGTGGCGCTGCGCCTTTCAGTTGCAGTGTGAGGTGTGTTGATGGGTGGAACTTCGCTCAACCAGTGAGTAGCACTTTGTGAGCGCCCTCTATGAGTCTTAGGAAAGAAGGAAGGAAATAGGCAGGTGAGAGTTCAAGAGCTGAGGCGGGAGTAGGTTGATTTATTTATAGTTTATAAAAAATGTACAAAGTATACTTTAAATTGTATAAGTAAGGAGGAAATGGCGAAAACATCTTTTTTTGCAGTTCTGTGCCAGAGCAAGCACTTCCAGTCATACCCTTCCACCGGAACTTGTATCCCTGTTATTCAATTTTATATTGGGAGCCAACCCTTAATGAGGCCACGGGATATAGTGGAGAAGGTGCCACTCCGTTTGTTGGGAGATCTGGCCTCACATCCAAGTGCTCCTGCTTGCTTGCCTGTTCCTTGGAATAAGTGTGTTACTCAGTTTTCTCATCTCTAAAATGGTGTTAATGCCTGTAGTTCAAATTGGTTTAGAGGGCTAAATGATAGGATAAATGTAAATGTGTTTTGCAAAGCAAGAAAAGCCTGACAAATAGGTCCTAGGTTTGGTTATTGTTGTTGTTACATGTAATTCCTCTCTTGAATTAATCTATTCATTCAGTATTATTTAGCAACTCACTGTGTCCCAGACTTATATTAGGGGCCTGTCCTCAAGAAATCTGTACTACAGTGGAGGAGACAGAAAACTAAACGGGAAATTTTTGTAAGTAATGAGAAATTAGTACAGGGTGGTTAATATTTATTTTTATAATTTGAGCCTTTCAACTTGGTTGAAATGCTGGGTGGCTTTCAGGAGGATCACCTAATCCAGACCTGGAGAATCAATAATGCCCTCTTAGAAGAAGTGATCTCTAATATGATAACTGATTTAATAGTTTTCTTGCCTAAAAGCTGGACTTTATTGTGAGAGCAATGAAGACTCACTTAAAAGATTTTAAGTCAAGAAATAACACAATTAGATTTGCATTGCTTAATTGCTAAGCTTTGGAAAGTACTTAGCACAGAACATAGTATATAGGTGCTCAATAATAACAGATTAAAAAATTTTAGTACATAGGTGCTCAATTATAAAATAGATGCTCAGTAAATTATCAATATTAATATCAATATTAAAAGTTTTACCCTCTAATAACAAGAGAAATGAGATTGGAATAATAGGGTCCACTGGTTTCTCTTTGTATGTCTTCTATAAGCAAATAAAAAGGAATCATTTTTATAATAGTTCACTCTCAATTGTCTAGGCTAATGGCAAAGGGAAAAATAATTCAGCATTAACTCACCAACTGATCAGTTTTCTTAGATGTGTTTATGTTCTAGACTTTCCTCCCTAAGACTCCAACTAGACAGTTTCATTGTATCTGAATCTCCCCGAATATCCTCAACCACACGTTTACAGCCTCTTCAGCCATTCTACCTACTAGTTGATCTACCCAATCATTCATTATTTCATTCAACAAGTACAGTATTTATTATGTACTCACACACTATTCTAGGCACTGGAAATGCCCAAAGGAAATGACACTTCTCCTAATAGGGAAAGAGTCATATATACAGATAAAATTATGAGATCATTACTATCATGGAAGTATATACTAAGTATAAAAGAAATAGAAAAAAAGAGGACCTAAATCTTCCTCATAGAATATGGGAAAAATTTTCAAGAAGCGATGATACTTGACCTGACTCATAGTGTAGATGTTAAAGGGGCTGTCAAAATAGGTACAAAATAAAGAGAATTCAAGTTAGATAAAACAAAAATGCAAAGACAGTGAAAAATGAAAAAGATGTGGCTTCAACTTCTAGGTAGGATGATATTCAAAATATTTACCAATCCCTGTGGCACCAAGCACTGACCAATTAGAATGGGAGCAGGCTTGAAGATTCCTTACTTTGTCAGATGTTAATCCTTTAGTTGTAGAACTGTGGAGAGGTCCAGGGGTTCTTCAGCTAGGGACTGAGGCAGACTGGGTCGTAGGAGAAGTATTCAGGAGTGGGGCAGCTACTTACTAATCAATACTGAAGGATTTCTATATTTTATCCACCATTATGGCCTTATTTTACATACAGACTGAACATTCTTCTAGAAAAAAATACTAGAGCAAAGCAAGATCACAGAACTTCTCACAGAAGAAAAAAAATCCAAAAAGCAAAAAAAAACTAAAATAATAAACATAAATGAATGAATTTCAGTTGTGCAATTGAGCAGCAATTGAACAAGGAAAGTGGAACTTTTGAAAAACAGCATAAACGTGAAAAAGGAACCGCTGAAGAGGAAAACTGAAGTTTCTATGTACTGTAAGAGACAGCCTAATGTAGTGCTTATAAAAATGGGCTATGAAGGCTTACTATCTAAGTTGGAATCTTATCTCTACTTCTTACTTGCTGCGTGTTCTAATCTTCTGTATGCAAATGTTCCTGAAATATAAAATGGAGATGATAAAAATAGCCCCTTTCTGGTGAGGTTTTTATGAAGATTAAATGCTGGTAAAACACTTCAGGCAATACTGGGTATATACAGGCATAGCTCATTTTATTTTACTTTGCTTTATTGCAATTTGCAGATATTGCATTTTTTACAAGACCCTCCACTGGCAAAAATATTATGACTTGCAGAAAGTTCAGATGATGGTTAGCATTTCTCAGCAACATTTTTAAATTAAGGTATTGTACATTTTTTTAGACATAATGCTATTGCACACTTAATAGACTACAGCATATTGCAAAAATAACTTCTGTATGCACTGGGAAACCAAAAATTTTATGTAACTCACTTTATTGCAATATTTGCTTTATCACAGTGATCTGCAATGGAACCCACAATACCTCTGAGGTATGCCTGTAGTAATATCTCACTAAGTGTTAGCCAATAGTAATCATAGTAGTAATAGTAGTAGTACTTGTCAGAGTAGCAATTGTACAGACATAGCTCAGCTTGAGCAGTTTCTATCTGCATGTTCTACACTGTCATTAAGAAAGAATATGAATTAACTACAACCTGATAATTTTTATTATTGTCCTCCAATTTGCAGAGAAGTTTGCCATGGTGTTAAGTAGATAAACCTGTTAAAACTCAAGAAACAACTGTCAAAAATAGGAGGTGTGGTAAACAGAACTCTAAGATAATTTCCACCCCTTTGTGTTCACACCCTGTATAATCCTCTCCCCTAGAGTGTGGGCAGAACCCATGACTTGCTTCTAGCCCATAGAATATTGTAAAGGTGAATGAATTTTGAAGATGTAACTAAAGTCCAAAATAAATTGATTTCGAGTTAACCAAAAGAGGGAATATTTTGGGTGGGACTGATTTGATCTGAAACAAGCCCTTTAAAAAGGAACTGGGCCTTCCCTAAGGATAGAGATTCTCCTTGCTAGCTTGATGAAGTAAGCAGCTATGTTGAAGAAGCCCATGTGGAAAGTTACTACAAGTGGCCTGTGGAATCCGTGAGTAGATTCTAGGACCTGAGGGTGGGCTTCAGCCAGTACCCAGCAAAAAAGCCAGGACCCTCAATAATTCTACCAATAAACCAACTGAACTTGGAAGCAGATTTTTTACCAATCAAGCTCTCAGATGAAAATGCAGTTCAAGTAAGAACTTGATTGTAGCCCTGTGAGACTCTGAGCAGAGAATCCAGCTAAGCCAGGCCCAAACTCCTGACCCACAGAAACTGAGATAATAAATGTGTGGTTTTAAGTTATTAAATTTGTGGTAATTTGTTACTTGGTGATAGAAAACAAATGCAAGTTATTGAAGGGAAAAGTTATCTAAACCATCTTCCAAAGTAGATAGGTGACCTAAATTGGTCCTAGTAGAAGATATTTAACTGTCACTCAGTAGAAAGGATAGAACCAATACTGTAATTATACCTGGGTAAGAGGGGCCTCAGTCCTCATCCCCATATTTTAGATGGCCCATATATATCATAACATACATGTACGATTAAAGAACACATGGATGCATTTGTCACTCAGAATCTGACAGCACTACTATAATGGAAACTGTAACCTTAAACATCTGCCCTCCTGATATTATTCAAGGCCTCAGGGGAATGCTTCTCTGTATTTCTTGCATTGTGTCCTCAAAAGAAAAAAAAAAAAAGGCACCTATCAGAATGCTGTGCAAGTCAGTGGGTTGAGACATACACACAGCTTCAAAGTAGGTAAAAATTTGAGCAGCAAAATAACTTAGGTAAGAAAAAACTTAAATTAACTGCTTAAATCCTTTCTCTCTACTAGTACAGATTCAATAGATTTTTGCATAACACAGTCATTTGCCAGTAGTGTCATGCCTCCATTTTCTTGCTTTTTTGCATATTCTAGTTTGTGGTTCTGTAGGTACTCAGAACTTATTGCAGCATTCCCAACATTTGGACATAGCTTCTGGAAAAATGTTTGAAATATTAAATAATCCATATTATTCTTATATTTATATGCCATACATGTAGATGTTGAATAACATAAATGAAACATGATGTTCAATTTTTAAACTAGCAACTAAATTATATTGAGTTCTAGAATTGTAACTGATTTCATTTTAATAAAAATATTTCATTTCTGAACAACAAATGGGTCAAAGAAGAAATCAAAAGAGAAATTTAAAAATACCTGAGACAAATGAAAATGGAAATATGACATATCAAAATTTGGGGGATGCAACAAAAGTAGTTTTAAGAGGGAAGTTCATAGCAATAAATGCCTACATCAAGAAATAAGAAAAATCTCAAACAACCTAACTTTACACCTCAAGGAACTAGAAAGAGATGAACAAATGAAGCCCAAAGTTAGCAGAAG